GATGGTTAAAGGGATGGCTTTTTTTGGAGGAAGGGTGATCAGTCACTTCTATGATACCGAAAAATGTTCCAGGGGATAGAGAAATAAATCACATACAGCATAAAACAAGAAAATCAGCTTAGAGTTAGCTGCATCGTTAGGCCTGCAAAGTGATGGAAAACATATACAAACATAACACAATTGCATTTTTACTTAAAAATACCAGAAAGTTCATTCTATATCTAACGTATTAATGTTGATAAGACTGACAATTTATTCCCGGAAGAAGCGAAAATATATTTGAAAGTAAAGATTATTGTGTATATCTATCCATTCCTTAATAGGATCTCTGACCCTAATTAAATATTTAAAGAACTTTGAAGGCCCTGGGCTATACATTTAGGAATATTATTTTCTCTTGCCCTGCTAGCTTCCCTCCTGTTGTCAGTCTCTCCCTCCTTCAGGCCTCTCTTCCCCTCTTCCCAGCCTTTAATGCATTCCCTGCATACTCTATGCCAGGCACTGTGCTAGGCAGGGGGCGGGGGTCTCCCTTCCAAGCCTTCTGTTCCTACCTTTTTTACTTCCTTCTCTTATTTACTGGTGCTTCCCTGAACTCTTTGCCCACATGTCAGTTGGGCACATCTGCAAACATCGAAGCAGCCAGAACACAGGAAATATGTAAAATGCTACCTAGCCTCAAATCACTTAGCTGTTGCAAATGTCATGCGTCAGATGATCAATGCAGACAAAGGAATTTTAGGGTTTCGTTTCTAAGACAGGCTCTGTGGGAGCTGTTGACTTAGACCCAGGCACTGAAGGATGGGAGACATTGAGAAAGCACTGGCAAAGTGTTTCAGGTGTAGGAATGATCAGAGAAAACACAAAGCAAATTTCAGGGAGGCAATGAGCAGATCAGCCTTCCAGTGTAGAAAATTCCTATTTAGACAAAGGCAATAATGCAGTTGGAAAGAAAAACTGAAGCCAAGTGGTGAGAAGTCCAAAGAAGTTGTGAGATTTTAAAATGTTCTCCTATTGGCTCTGGGGAATCCATAGATGCAGAGGGGAATAATGTGATGCAAATATCAAGGTGGTTGTGAATAATGCACATCAAGGTGGTTGCGAACTCCTATTCTAAGAGCAGAGGCTTGCCTATAATATCCACTGATTTATTCTAAACATCTTGAGCAGGCCTAGGACTTCATAGAGGCTCAGTAATATTTGCTGAATGACTAGAAGAATGAATAGAGTCTGAAAGACCTGTGTTTTAAGTCAACTTAGCTGCTCCCTAGCTCTGTGACCTTGAGCGAGTTATTGAACCTCTCAAAGCCTCAGTTTCCTCATATAAGGAGGGATAATAACGCTGCCTTTCTCATAGTGTGATTGAAAGGATTAAGTTAGAAAACAAAGGTAACGGGCTTAGCACATTGACTGGCATATAGAAAATAAATGTTAGCCATTAATCATTAGAATTAGAGGTCCTTTAAAATAGTATAAAAAGCATTGGAAAGAGGCATGAAAAGAGTAAAACAGACTCAGTGTCTGCTGCATTGTAGGTCTGAATAGTGAGGAAAAAGGGCTGCATTTAGACATTTCTAAATGCAAATCAATAGGATAACTTCTTAAAATGCATTCTGTTTTACCAATATATTCTTTAAATTGGTATAGATGCCTAGAACATATTTTAATCCACTTAAAGAAGAGACAAAAGAAATACAGATTCCAAAATGATACAGATTGTGATGTGATTAGCTCATGATGTACAAATAATTGGCGAGTCTCCTATGATCTGCAAAATCCGGCAAATAACGAATATTGAATCAATGGTGAATATTAAGTTAAAAACCACAACAATAGTGTCTATTTTCCAAATCCACATAGGAGGGCATTTTTATAATAATTTATTTGATTTCCATGTTTCAAATTTCTAGCAAATCATATTCTTCTTCAAATGTTTCTGGAAAATCCAATATCTTCAAAGACAACTGCAGCACACTATGTTAAAATCCTTGTGATTATGGTAGTTGACTATACGTCCTGTGTTCCTGATCACATTGTGCTACCTGGTCTTTCTTTCCCTAGGCAAACTCTTAGCTTTATGGTATGTTTTAGTTTTTGCATTTGGACTGTGAACTCAATTGTCAGGACAAGACAGGAAATTCAAAGATTTATTAATTACAAGTACATTGTGCTTATATAATGCCAAGCAACATTAAGAATATAAATTACAGCTTAGAGATATTATTAAGGATGTAAAAAGATTCTGTTCACTATGTGGTGTAAGAGCATAAAGTCTAGCAACTTTAGAAGGACTTGGGGTCATTACAAGTCTATATAGGCCATCTCTTGATGAAGAAATTATAAATACCATTAAACAAATTGCAATTTTCACATTTTAAAACTGAATGAGTTTTTAAATGCTTCGATTAATTATTAGTGAGTGCTAGAGTGTATAATTAAGCTTTTTAATGTAACTTTTATTTTCTTAAGTCATTCTGGTATTCTGTAAACATAAGCATCCGACTCATGGTAATGCAAATTAAAATCTGTTGGATCATGGAGGTGATTAAATACAAAACACTGTAATAGATAAAACTTTACCGTGTGTCCTTGACAACATGCCAGAATAGTAACTTGGGGTGAAATCTTCACTAGCTATCTAACAGGGTCCCTCCCCTGCCGGTTCTTTCGCCATAATAAACTTTCTAGATGATGCTCAATGCAAATCTGAGGCTTGCCACTTGGCAGACTATTTTTGTGGAAAATAAACTACGATAGCTAAAGGAAAGATTTTATTGAATTATGCAAGTAACTTGCTTCTACTGGAAAAATCCTATATCCTAATTTCAACCCCTTGAACAACATCCCAAGGCCAGCTCAAATCTTTCAGCACTTTATACACAATTTCTAATGAAATATGTTTTGGGTTTTTTTCCCTCCAAACTCAGACAAATAGGTCAGACAAATAGCTTCAAAGTTAATACAACTTTCTAAGTGACAGATAAGAATAATGGCACACCAAAAAGACAAAAACCGAAATTACAGGAGACAGAGAGAAACTAGGAGTAACCAACTACTCTGAAACAATGGCATTTGGAAAAGAATATTAATTATGAAAAGAAAGCAAATTTGGGGAAATTTAATAAACATACCAGTAGAGGAGAATAATCAGATACTAGAGCTTAATTTTACTTTTATAAAAAACTGCACTGACGGCATGTTAATTCAGCAATAATACCATTATTTTAACTTTAAGTATTCACTACAATCAAATTAAATTGCATAAAATTTTTTTCTAATTAGCATTTAGAGCAACGCAGTTTGGAAGCTAATGGCTTTGTGTAACATGCACAGAAAAATTGATTTAAGGGTTTCATTTTGACTTACATGAATATTGATCTAATATGTCACAACTCCAGTTCCCAAAAGATTTGATTCTTTAAAAGCTATGTGATTAACTTTACTTGTGCCTACATCTCCTGAAAGAATTGAGGTGCTGAGATGTTTCTGGTAACATTAGGTACAATCTTTCTAAGTTTATATATCTGCACTTACCTATTCAATAAAGACAGATATAATGACTGCATATTTGCACACATATTTTTTATTTCTTACTTTATTTTTAAATTTTAAAAATTACATGACATCTGGAAGGAAAGTCAAGTCAATTTTGTGATAACGCATAGTATTTATTCCTCCCGTCCAAGTTAGCTTTCCCCTGACTTGCAAGCCTCTTTGTTTTTCCTCTTTAAACCACAAACTATCATATATAATATTTCTTCCTTTAAGATACACCTAATTCTCATAAGGAAATATCAAATTAAAATAGGAGAAATCTGGAAATACTCATATTTTATCTCAAGAGTTCAATGCAGTTACTTCAGCTGAGATAAACGCATGAGGACTTTTCTGAAATAACTTTTACATAAGGATAAAATGATTTCTATCTAAGAAACAATTACCAGCCAACACTATTATCACCAGAAATTTGTAAGCTAGAATGAGCAATAAAAACATTTTATTTGGAATGAGATATTAGAGAATAGCTATTAAAATATTTTACTCAATTTCTATTACACCTTAAAATGAAAGTCATCAAAATGTCATTACAGGCCTTTTCCCCAGATTCTTCAGAGACTGAATTTAATCATTTCAGGAAATTGAGGGCTATCTAACATTCGCTTAAATCTTTTGAAATAACAGCAAAGCAAAACACTGTGAAATTTATGAGACGTTTTATATTAAAATATGTTCACATCCATACATAGATACATACCACATATCAGGAATATTTGTCCTCAGATACCTAGAATTAAATATTTCTTGTGAAATTAACCACTCATATAAAGTATCACCTTCAAGCAGATCTGAAGTAAGAAACCCAAGTTAAGGAGCCACAATTGAGCTTTGCGAAACCCCAGGCTTAATAAAGCGGTTAAGTAGCAGTTTAAAAAAATACCTACAAAAATCAATTCTTTGGAAATTACTTCCAGCCACAATTATTACCTGTACAACAGACCATAGAACTTTTAACTGCTGCTCAGCTAAAGAGCTAAACATTAGTTGAATAAGCACAATTACACTAATAAAGGCATCCTTATGTGTTCTTTCAGAAAACTAGTACTCTGAAGAATTTTCAAGCCGGAAGAGACCTTCAACATCACCTAATCCTGGTTCTTGTTTACCAGTTCCAGGGATAAAATCTACATAAAATAGATAAAGATCACTTTTATTGGTCCCCAAAATGACCATTTTCTCTAAAATATAAAAATCTGCTTATTTTCAAGACTGGAAGTAAACAGACAAAATACCTGATTGTATTTTGTTAATAAAAGCTAGGCAATCTTCAGCAAATGACTAACAATAAAATTCCCTAAGACAGTCTCTTCTTTAAACCTTTTATGTTAAAAAGAACAGTTTAAATTTCAAATAGTTTCATTTAGAAAGCAGTTTTCTGATGCTACCGGCAAGAAGCACATGAAATAGTTTGGAAAATTGCACTTTAAAAACTCTTTAATTTTTACCTTTCATTTTGAGGAGGATGCCACTTCTGACGGAAACCGTTTTTCCTGAAGATACTCAGTGCTGGCTGATTTGGAATAAAAACCATTAGCATATTACTATCGAACGGAAAAAAATACACTACAAAGCCGCAATCTGTCTCGGAAGGAAGCTGATGGTGCTTATAAGCAATAAATGCCTTTCCTGATACCTATTTTGTCATCATCATCTTATTTGCAGAGTGGATGCTCCCTGCAGCATCAATTAGGCAGTTTTTAAGGGAACGGGGAGACGCATGCGGGCTCCTCTGCTAAGCACAGCTGTATACTCCACGGCCTCTTAAGTACCACGGCTCCTTTCTAACAAGGTTCTAGAAGGCAAGGATGTCCGGGGCCCATTAAGTAGCACACAAGCAGAACCTTCCTGGGAGTCACCAATATTAGATACAACTTTCGCTCAAAGAACCAGCACCAGACTGAAGGCAACAGAGCTGCAGAACGTCTGCCTGTTTCTGCCTCAGCACTTGGCAGTCGCGAATCGGAGGCCAAGCCCATCAGGGAAACTACTCCTGACTTCTCAGCGCCCCAGCAGCATCCAGGCATCCAAAGGGGGCCTGTTTTCTAGGCAGACCCAACTAAGAAAAAGTAAGGAAATGGAAGGTTTACCCTCTCTTCCACAATCCACCTAAAGCCGCATCATCCAAATCACAAATGAAATGCTAATGCACAAGAAAATGAATGCCAATTTCCTCCACTTTGCTCCAAGTTTCAGAGGCCCCTCCACAATAAAAGATAGCTGTTTGTGGAGGCTGCCTTGTTCCATACCATTAACTCAGAACAAAACATATTTTTAGTGGGACAGCGGTGTTTACTTGTAAGAACTGATGAATTGTTCGGCACCATTTATCACATGCAGACAAAGACATTCAGCCACAATTTTGGACATAAATCAAGGTACACGTTCCTCAATAAAAAAAAAAAAAAAGACTGCTTAAGTCCCCAAAACCACAGAGATTGAGGTCAGACTGGCCATAGCAACCAAGAACAGGACTTGGGTCTCCGGAAGGACCTAGCAACCGATAAATGAGTTCAGATCTCTTTTCATCTCCACTGGTGTGAAAGCCAAAATTAAAAAGATTAGATCACCCTGCACCCATTACAAAAGGCGCCACAATGAAAAAGTCATTTCCAGCCTTTGAATCACATCAAATAAATAACATTCATCCCTCCTATAATGAACAACTTTCAAAGTAAATTGAATCCCCATAGTACGGCTTTCCCTGGCTGCACAGTATTTACATAACAATATATCACAGGAAGCTCAGAATGGGTCTTGTAAATGGGAAGCTCGGGATAAAAAGCATCTTTAGCCCCGATTACTGTATACTCAAGCTGCTTTTCAGTCTCCCTCATTTAAACAATGTGCTGTACCAGGAACATAAACAATGTTTTTAAATTGTGGGAAATGAAAGTTTTTGGTACATTTTTAAGTGTCTGGACTCACCCCTTTTGTGGGGTGCTGAGAATGTAGGAATCGCTTAACCCCCTGAATCCATGCACTGGCTTCATTTTTGTGACAAAGAATTCTCATCTATGTGTTCACTTGCTTCTTTGTTCATGCCAGAAATTTTTCACCCTAAATGTCTCCTGAATTTTTATATATTACTTAAGATGAAAGCACGTTTGCAGATTTTTTTAGCATGTGGCTCATTCATTATTTGTCATTTCCTCGAAAGTATACGGTATTCTCCATTACCATAACAATAATGTCTATTAAGTTTTAGCAATATCTCCACAGAAAATATTAATCTTCTACAGTCTAATTTTGACAACATTTCTCTAGGTCACCAAAAAAAATTTTTTAAGGACTAATATCCCAAAATACTTAGGCTTCCATAAACTATTGCACAATTCATATATTTCAAATGGAGTATGTTCAAGATAAGAAAGTTAAATCTATGTTAAAAATATGCCAGCATAATCTTATCTTTTTGTGGCAGCTCACGTAGACATTACTATTTGAACTCCACAGGGAATCTCATTAATTTTTAAAACTCTCTGACCTCAGTACAGTTGAGTGTAAAAATAATTACAAATTAAGAATGAAAGAGCATCGCTTAAATTCTACATGGCCATATGCTCTACTTTGCACAAAACATTGCTAACTATCATCAAACAGAATTTTTCCCCGATATGAATTTAAACAGCATGATAAATGTCACCAGACAGACATAAAAAGCAGCTCACCCTTCCACCCAGCCCGCTCACACCTCGCCTCCGACGATCCTAATAACACAAAGCCCTGAGAACACAGGTTTGCAGGCGAGTGACAGCACAGATGATCCCCTCACAAAAATATTTCCCTCTCGAGACTCGCTTTATGTCTCAATGTCTCTCTCAGCCACAAAGATGTAAAAATACAAGAATCGGGGCATAAATATTTTCTTACCTAAAACTTGTCAGAAGGACGGTCCTTGGGTCCTTGTCATTGTTGTCACCTCCGGTGCCCCCTCTCGCCATCGTGGAAATTGGTTCCACTATGTTTATTGCTCTGTGCCTCAGTTACAGCTGTGGCACTCATCTGCCTGCATAGAACCTACGAGAGGAAATGAGAGTGAGAGAGTAAGAGAGAGGGAGGGAGTGGATGTGTGTTTGCTTGTGTGTGTGTGTGTGTGTGTATGTGAGTGAGAGAGAGAGAGAGAGAGAAAGAGAAAGAGAGAGAGAGGGAGAAAGGGAGAGACTGCTGACTTGAAACTAAGAACCTAAAACCTCCGGCCAAGACAAGCCTGAATAAAAATGATCAAAGCTCTGTCCTTCATCAAGAGAGTAAACAGATATTTTTTTTTCTCCTCCACTGAAAAGTGGAGCTGTCATTGGGGATTCTCACCAGGAAAGCGCAGACAGAGGCAGCCCTTCTCCAGAGTGTCAGCGCTGCCCAGCAGTCCGTGCAGAATACAGGTACCTATTGTTCCAGAGACAGATATGTAGCCAGCCAGTCAGACTCTGACAGATCTCAGCAAACCAGTGAGCCTGCCTTCATTTTAACTCCTTATTTACTAGTGCTTTTTGGTCAAATGCAAAGGTCTTCTCAACACCCACGAGAAATAAATGGAGATGATTCAGATGAGCTCACGGCAGGAACTAATCCTGTATCTTTTACAAAGAAGGACTTTTCACCACTATTCTTGAAATGATGAATTTGATGCAAATATCTTATTTTTCTGGGAAGAAATGAAGCATTAGATTACATGAGGAAGACTTAGCGAGTAAAAGAAAACCTTGACATCCAAGATGAACAGCGCAGCCAATTTTAAAATGAAGACAGAAATTGGGGTTATTCAAAGCACCCTGAATGTAAATATATATATATTCCAGAACGTGAATGGGGTTACCTAAGCTAACGGGGTCTCAACCTTTTGCATAGGGGTGTGGCACGTTGAACACATTCCGCACAAAACGCTACTCAGGTAGACCTCTGTGTTCCTAGGGGCTGGCGTCTTTTTGGTCTCTCTCTTTCCAGACCCCACTGCTTTCTCAAGCACCCCCCAAACATCTCTCTTTCCCAAAGCCTCACCAGTGTTTAAATTATGCCTAAGGCAGTAAAACAAAATTAAGGAAGCTCAGAGAAAAATAACTTGTTCTGTGTTCTCTCTGATGGATCCCGAGATCCAGAAGGCACTCTTGATTCTTTAAATTCCTGGACCTTTCTAGGTTACGATGGGTTTCTAACTTTCACCTTTGTGTATTAATTGAACAATTTTTTTTCGAGGGAGTGAAAGAAGGCAAAATGTCTTCCATTTGATGGTTCAGCACTATTAGAAGGCAGAGAATAGAAAAACAAAAGAAAAAGAAAAAGTAGTTTCTTAGTGAGTTAAAATAAAAGATGGACTTATACTCCCTCAAAAGACTCGGTAGACAAGCACTTTGGACTTCTTTCTACAATGAACCCAATTTCATTAATTGTTACCATTTACCCACGAAACGCTTGCATATTCTGATATGGTAGGTGTGTTGCAGAGTCCATAAAATAGTTATGAAATCCAAACTCAAGAATCACTTTACAAAGCCAGAGGGTAAATAACGCAACAGGGGAAGGCTGAACCACACCCGGCTGTTAACGATAACAAGAGACGCAGAAGACATCCATGCTATGCCCAACAGCTTCTTCGAAACGTCTACGGTTTGCCTGATTTATTTTTTTTTAAAACCTAATAAGAGACTGTATCATGACATTTCGAAACTCCATTAAAAAAAAAGAAAAAAGACCTAGAAAATTCAGTTCTCTTCTTTCATACTCTCTCTTGTCCTCAATCCCAGCATTTTGAAACCAGTTCAAGTCATGCTAATTTAACGAGAACTCTGTCCAATTAATATAAGCTTTAGAAACACTTTTAGAAGTTAAAATTGCTTGACTTGATGACTTCTGCAAGTGGATGCTGTGTTTTGTACTCAAGGAGGGTTTTTCTTATGCTCAGAAGGGAGAGGATGTCAAAAGACTTTACCTAAACAGGGAGAAAAATGTACAAGGTTTCTTACTAAGCTCATCTTCACCTATGAGCCGGCAACAAAACACGAAAATCTTGTAGCCTGCTTTTCCTAAGTGGGATAAAATGATTTTCCTTCAAACCCATTTTAAAGAACATGCATATCTTTGTAAGCTTAAAAGATTGCATAATTTTCATGACTATCTTAATAGCAAAAGAGCAGAAGCCCAGTCAATGAAAGACAGTAGGATAGATTACAGGTATACAGACAGAACAGAGGTGGATGACAGTGGAGGTGACAGCTCCCATTCGAGGCTCCCATGACTGCCTCTAATGCTGTAGTTGAAAAGGGGCGTCTAAGCTCTCACTCCTGAGCATGTGATAAGACTTAGGTGTAAGTACATTTAATTAGAGCATTACCAGGCCCCATCCAGATGTCATTATCTTTCGCGGTGTTTTTTTTTTTCTTTTGATCTTTCTGTCCAACTTCTGTTGTCTTCAGAAAATCAAGCTTGGTGTGCCAAACAGATTTTAAATATTCAGCTCTTACAATGTTTGAATACAGACAGTTCTCACAGTCGGGGTCCTTTATTTTCTGGAGGTTTGTGCAGAGGGTTATCAACACTAATGAGTGTCATGTGCACATGTAAATAAAAAACAGGACACACTCCTGCAAAGTGTGTGCGTCTATGTGTATGTATAAATGGGTATAGAGTTGTGCAAGGTACACTTTTTTTGTTGTTTCATGAGTAGGGGAAAATATCGTTTTTTTCTCAATAAAGTTTTTTGTGAAACTCCCACTAGGATGGCTTTGTCCCTAGAAAGATCACCCCTGAAGCCTATTACACAGCCCTAAGTTTATAATTCACACTTCAGTCCCCAATTTGCCAAATAATTCATGTCAAGCAGAAGTTTGACATAAAGTGCCAACTGTTTCTTGAAAGAAAAAAAAACCTGTTTCATGTGCTGGGTTTTTAAGGAATAAGCACATGAGGTTAGGGGCACCACTTATTAACAGTAGCAAGGGGTAGGCTCATTCCTCTGGTATTCCATGGGGGGTTTATCTTTTTTCATCCACATAACTAGAACTGAGAGATATGAAATTAGGTTTTCCAGAAGAAATGTGAAAGGAAAACAGAATATCTTCTTTATGTCGCAGAATATCCCAATTTTTATAATTTCCCCCCAGGATTTGCTACAGACACATTCAGTTACTCATTCACACAATAAACCTCACGCTGATAGAACTTCTAAGAGACTCTCCCGGAACATTGCAGGTAACCCGACTCCAGCAAAGTTAAAAATAGTCTCTCCACCAAATTAAACATTATCTAAGTTCTCCACACAGTTATTAAATACATAGAAGATCACCTCTGTGCATAATCTATAAATGGCTTGGATTACATATTAAAAATCTAATTAAAAGTTTTGCCTTATCTCAGTTGGCCGATTTGAGATTAGAGAGTAAATTCTGGTTCAGGGTGAAAGCTCATGTGGAATCGAGATTTCTGACAGTTGGAAGTTGGAAATTAATGGCAATATCACAAAGCATTTCTAATAGAAAATATTACAAAATTATGAACAACTTTCTAGACCCCTTTTGGACCACATTTAGTGCCGTGAGGAGATGCCCTGGTGACTTATTCCAAAGAACTTTATTTTCTTGAGAGCTGGAGAGAGATGGACATGAGAGAGGAAATTTCTGTGAGGTACGAGAGGAAAGTGTTACTGTGATTACTTTCAAAACTGAAATCTTAAAAATCTAGTCATGCAACTTGACTGATTAGAAAACACATCTTGAAATATACAAACTAAAGCTTCTCAATATTTAGGATCCAGGCTTGGGTAAGTGCTACTGAGGTTTCCACTTAATCCACTAACATGGTAGTGAAAACACTATTTCTGTAGAGAGCACTGCTCTGAAAAGTCAGTGAAAATTTAATGGAAGTTATTAGGGGCTAATTTACACCATTCAAACACCTGCAATATTTAATACTTTGGTCATTTGATAATTAATACAAGGTAAAGCATGCATTCTCTCGAACAATCCCCTCACTGTAGCACAATAACATATATTTTATAGAGTCTAGGTGACCAACTTCCTGACATACAGTTTAAATTAGATAAATATTTGGTTTCAAAAGATTCAATGAATATTTTACTCATCAATTAGTAAGCAGTCAGATATTTTGAGGTAATTGTAGAGTAATTTTGCCTTTCTCATTCTAAAATAGCTGCTGGAAATCAACTCTGAGAAGATACATTCAGAGAACAGAATGTTAATACTTTGAATAGTAACAAAGGGAAAGTATTTGCATTGTTGGATGTGTAAATGAAACAATATGTTTTCCAGTGTCTATAAATGTCTTCTTAATGGTCGCAGACTTAACAGCACAATGCAAAAAATTAACATGGAGCTGATTGATGAGAGTTGATAATCAACACAAAAGTATTTCATAGAAGTTGAGAAACTCCCAGAAGGGAATTAAGCACAGAAGTTGATAGAAACTTCCCTACATTTATTTTGTACAGCATTTTTTAAATCACAGAATATTCCAGAACATGAATATTTCCTTCAAGAATTACAATTTGGAAGTTTTTGTTAATAGACATATATTATCCTGTATCCCATTCTTTGAGTGAATTTGGACCTACCTGACTTCTCCAACAGCTGCTTCTAGAACTTCGCAGGGAGTGGGAGAGTCGTGCAATATGCAGAGCTTCAGCTAAAAGTGTTCTTCTCTCTTCCTTCCCCATCATGTGCAGTCTTCCCCATGCAAATCTTTTGATAAAAGTCAGGATAAAGCATGATTTATTAATATAGCAAAGTCATTACAATCCTGAGCTAAAATGTTATTGGAGCTTTCCCCAGCTACTGCTGTTTAAGGAAGTCTTTAAAAACCAATTTAATTTCCTTCCACCCAGTCAAGTTTTCTCCACAGATAATTGGTTTTCATTA